GTATTAAAATGTGCTGGGGAAACTCAGAACTTGAGTAGACATCTACAAAATATCTTATACATGGAGTAAAAAAAAAACATTCCTACGTCTCTTGACAAAAACATTCACTAGCAATTTTGGCTCACTGAATGCTATTTTCACATGACGTGTTCACAAATTATCTGTGCGAAGGAAACATGTTTTCCCATCTCGCTGAAAACATGAATGCGATTTTAAACATTTCTGTTCTCAATATACAGAAACATTTTTATGTAAAAATAATAAAATACCCTTCTATATAGTGGGTTCAAACAGCAGTTTAGCTTTAGTCTTATTATAATGACGAAATGGAGGATTTAAGACAGTCGTATTAATATGCAGATTCACACAGCAGAACTGCTTAGTGCACATACCATTTATCCTCTTGTTAATATTGTCACACGTTTTAACAGCTTTTCAAATGCGTTGCTTCATAAAGCCGGCACTATATTGGAAATCCAAGTCAATTTTCAGCATTGTGTATTATAATGCGAAAGGATCAACACTTGACAAGTTATGGCCTAAGAGACACGTTAAGCTCTTAAGTTGTCCTCTACCAATAATTCCTGTGTAAGTCATTGGAAGCATTCAAACACTAAAAGTACTAAAACATTATGCTCCAGTGGTCTTACAAAATTTAAGGTGTAGCTTATTTGCACAGGTTCACGTTTTAAAGTATAACATTTAGGCTTCACGGTAGCCAAATTGCTGTCAGATGTATGGATTAAGCTTTATTAATACAGCACCCCTTCAGTTTAATTAGATGTTTAGTGTCTTTAGTGGATGTTGTTCCTTAGGGATATCTTCTCTGTGAAAGACTTCCTTTAAGCACCATAATCGCTTCAGACATTGACGTGTCTGCCTGGCATATGTGCAGCAATTCACTTTTAACACTGCACATAGAGAGATGAATCCACACCCAGCAGCATCATTGGGAGTCATTCAGAACAAGGATGTTGGGCTGGTTAGTATCAATTCTGAACAAAATCAGTTTCTTACACAGCACACACAGCATGCTGGTGCCAGACAGCCAATGGTGGCATGGCACCCCCTCTGTGCTGCCCTGTCCTCCTCTCAGTCTGTGCTACTATTGGCCTCAGTAAGTGGAAGTGAACAGGTTTAGGGGAAAGCTGGGCTTTGGAAATGGAAAATAGATACGTTAAAGCACTTTTGTTTTTGGATGGGGAACGACCACCACCACAGATGGAGTACTCTAAACTAGGCTTCTCCAAACTCCAGCCCTCCAGATGTTGCTAAACTACAACTCCCATGATTCTATGAATGAAATAGAGAGGCTGAGAATCATGGGAGTTGTAGTTCAGCAACATCTGGAGGGCTGGAGTTTGGGGAAGCCTGCTCTAAACTAAACCATTGTTTTATGAAAGTATGTGGCACTGACCAAGTTCAAGGATAGTATTATATTAGTACATTGAAAAAAATTAAGCACTTCAGTCTCCCACTACTCCTTGGCTGCAGCAATGACTATAGTGCACATCTACACCAATATATAGAACAAAACCCAAAAATGTTACCCATGCATTATTCCAAATCGCCATGCACATTTACATAACTGAATGATTTCTTAGTATCACTCCAATGGCCTTTAAAGTGTAAGCTCACCTGCCACCTCAAGGCTTCAGCTTATACAGCAAAATATCTAACGAGACAGAGAGAGGTATTTTTCTAAACCCCCTACACACTTATTAACCCTTAATAGGGAACATGAGGTGGATGGCAGCACTGTAACTTAACTGTGTGATGCAAAAGCAAATACAAATAGACACAATTAATCCCTGTGCTCAAACTCCCACTACTCTTGGGTGGCAGCAATGTCTATAGTACAGATCAGTCCTGAAACATACAATAAAAACCAAAGAAAAAGGTTACTTTTGCACTTTCCCAAATCCCTATGTATATTCAGATAACTGGAGGTTTGTCACTTTCAACGTCAAGACAAAACCTCTTAGGTGAGTCCTACACTAACAATTGCTACTTGCTACTTGTCTCAATGAGACTTCAAAGTATAAAGATAATTCAGTAAACGGCTAACAATAGATGGGTCCATATTGTAATAGTGGTTGGAGAGGAATTTTGGTAATGGAATACTGATGGGAGTCAAGGGAAAAAAAGAAATTAAATAGGACATATGTTTACCTATGGGATGTTAAATGGATTCTCTATGGAATTTTTCAAATTGGGTAGACCAATTTTTTGGGGGGCTAAAAATTTGAATGAGAATAAATGGGAAGAACACAGAGATGATGGTGAAAAATAAGTGCAGAAAGTTGGAAAAGGCAGAGAAGACATGAGTGGTAGCAGTGTGCAAAATGGATTTATAGATTTCCATAATCTGGTCACCCTGGCTTTATGTGAACCCTCCCCTTCATGACACTGTAAAAAAGGGGCCAAGCATGGATGTCATTACAATTATGCCCTTCCTCTGCCCCACCCCTGGAAAAATTCGTGCGGACGCCCATGATAATGGGCCGTAGTGATTATGATGGTTGGAGTGATTATTTAAGGCCTAATGATGTTAACATCATTGGTCAATCTATCCATCTATCTATCTACACTTATCAGCCACAACATTAAAATCTAATATTGAAGGGATATAAAAGGGATATAAATTAAAGGGATATAAAACCTATCCCTTCATGAAGCCAAAACAGATGTAATGCATTGAAGCATGGACTCCACAAGACCTTTGAATGTGTTGTGTTGTATCTGGCACCAAGACATTAGCAGCAGATCTGGATGTTAATTGACATGTGCCACCTACCTGAAATTAAATGAAAGAAAAATAAATATCCAGGCACATCTGAGATTTCTTCCAAAAGGCAGTATTTTTTATTTGAAACAAGGAAGTGGGGACAACACTCCTCTTTGAGCCTTTAACAAGTCTAATAAAGTCTAAAAAAATGATTTTTTTGTTTCCACTTCCTTGTTTCAAATAAAAAAAGACTACCTCTTAGAAGAAACCTCAGGTGTGCCTGGACATTTCTTTTACTTCCATTTAATCTCTAGGTAGGTGGCACGTGTCAAAGTAACATCTACATGAATACAAGGACCCGAGATTTCGCAGCAGAACATTGCACAGACCATAACACTGCCTCTACCAGCCAGCCTTCTTTCCATAGTGCATCCGACTACCATATTTTCCACAGGTAAGAGACATACACGCACTGGGCCATCCACCTGATCTAAAAGCAAATGTAATTCATCAGACCAATCAAGCTTATTTCATTGCTTTGTGATCCAGTTCTGATGCTCACATCCCCATTGAAAGCTCTTTTGGTAGTGGAAAGGGGTAATTATGGGCACTGTGACTGGTCTGTGGCTATGCAGCCCCATACGCAGCAAACTGTGATGCACTGTGTGATCACATGACCAGCATCAAGGTTTTCAGCTACCTAGGCTACAATATCTCTACTGTTTGATCAGACCAGATACCTTCACTCTCCAGGTGCATCAATGAATCAGCTCACTGGTTGTCCTTACTTGCACCACTTTTGGTACTAACTAACTCCTGCATACCAGGAACACATCACAATACTTGTCATTTTGGAGTTGCCCTTGTCAAATTCAATCAGATATTTTCACTTTCCAATTTTTCCTGCTTCCAACACTTGAAGTTCAAGGACTGACAGTTCACTTGCTGACTAATATATCCCACTTCTTGACAGGACCTGTTATAACGATACAATCATTGATATTCACTTTACCTTTCAGCGGCTTTAATTTTGCAGCTGAATATTGTCTTCTCATTCAAAACTGTGGCGAGTTCTGTACTTGATTTTGGGGGCTTGTCACTTTGTAATGTGAATTTTCCTATTATTAAAATAAAGAATAAAAAGATTGCATTTAATCCCTGGCTGAGTAAAACGTGCTTTTTCCAGTTATTCTTTCATTTTAATCCCAGAGAGCATCAGCAGCATGCTGTTCATGGGTAGACAGGAGTAACATAGAAAAGTAGAATTATGCCATAACATATCCCAACCTCTGTGTAAGGGTAAAGCCCAAGGTGTTTCTAGAACGTAGCAACAAACTTGATGGACATTATATTTATTATTCTAACTATTTACTCCTGCCCGTGTCAAACCTAAACCTGTAAATGTAGTTTAGCGAAGAGTGGTGTCCTTGATTTGAAAATTTAAAAAAAAGGAAATCTCGAAATGTAATGGAATGTTAGTTTGATAATCTGTTATTTTATAGCACTCTACACAAGACCTAAACTTCTAATGTAAAACGGGAGATAAAACCATTTAGAATCGAAGTACTATAGTGTTATCCTGAGCATTAAAAATGGATAAAGTTCAGGCAGGGTGTAATGTTTTCAAAAGAAATGGACAGATGGGCCATGCAGTGCTTAACTAGTCACAAATGATAAAATCCTATTCTGTTACATAAATGACCATTTAATACAATGCAACATTGGACTTTAAACACTGAACTGTATTTTTTTCTCATGTACGATCTTTCATCCAATTTTACAATGATTTGGGCTGTTTGCTTTCCTTGAATTCTTCCAGGCTCATGAAATCCTGAACAATCTCATTAGACTTGCTAGATTATTATGTAGTACAGAGAAAATACTGGATAAGTGAGTTATTTACATAGAAACATAGAAACATAGAATGTGACGGCAGATAAGAACCATTCGGCCCATCTAGTCTGCCCAATTTTCTAAATACTTTCATTAGTCCCTGGCCTTATCATATAGTTTGGATAGCCTTATGCCTATCCCATGCATGCTTAAACTCCTTTACTGTGTTAACCTCTACCACTTCAGCTGGAAGACTATTCCATGCATCCACTACCCTCTCAGTAAAGTAATACTTCCTGATATTATTTTTAAACCTTTGTCCCTCTAATTTAAGACAATGTCCTCTTGTTGTGGTAGTTTTTCTTCTTTTAAATATAGTCTCCTCCTTTACTGTGTTGATTCCCTTTATATATTTAAATGTTTCTATCATATCCCCCCTGTCTCGTCTTTCCTCCAAGCTATACATGTTAAGATCCTTTAACCTTTCCTGGTAAGTTTTATCCTGCAATCCATGAACCAGTTTAGTAGCCCTTCTCTGAACCCTCTCTAAGGTATCAATATCCTTCTGAAGAAACGGTCTCCAGTACTGTGTACAATACTCCAAGTGAGGTCTCATCAGTGTTCTGTACAATGGCATGAGCACTTCCCTCTTTCTACTGCTAATACCTCTCCCTATACAACCAAGCATTCTGCTAGCATTTCCTGCTGCTCTATTACATTGTCTGCCTACATTTAAGTCATCAGAAATAATCACCCCTAAATCCCTTTCCTCATATGTTGAGGTTAGGACTCTATCAAATATTCTGTACTCTGCCCTTGGGTTTTTACGTCCAAGATGCATTATCTTGCACTTATCCACATTAAATGTCAGTTGCCACAATTCTTACCATTTTTCTAGTTTACCTAAATCATTTGCCATTTGGCTTATCCCTCCTGGAACCTCAACCCTGTTACATATCTTAGTATCATCAGCAAAAAGACATACCTTACCATCAAGACCTTCTGCAATATCACTAATAAAAATATTAAAGAGAATGGGTCCAAGTACAGATCCCTGAGGTACCCTACTGGTGACAAGTCCAAGTTTTCAGAGTTATACTTCCTGTCCTTTCTGCTGTGACGGGAGGAGCTAACCAATGAGTAAATGTAATAATGACCAGGAATATAAAATGACTGTATGAAACAATTGTCCTTATTTGTGCTTGTACTCACTCTTTTGCAAGCAGTAAATATGCAAATTAAGATGAAACATGACAAGGGCACTGTGTGCATGTTCCTTAGCACTCCCTTTATTATTCTGAGTTTGAAGTTTAATAGTGGTTTTAGAGTCCTATAACACATGATTTTATATTTTCCACATGAACTTTGTGTGTATTTAAATATTTACATAAATACATATTTGAAAATGATTTTAATATTCCAAAGTAAGTTTAAAGGATCATTTTGTCTCCGACAAACATTTCAAATTCTAAAAGGAAAGGGGAAAGTGAACAGATCTGTTATGCTTTTAAACCCACTGTAAGCAAAACAAAGATAAAGTTAGAGCAGTAGTAACATCATGCCATAAAACCAGGAAATCCTAGTCAGACCACCTTACCAGTAAATGTCCCTGGACAAGACACCTAACTATATATGTGTCACATGTTCGTCCTCACCTTGTGGTGTCCGTGAGAACTACCTTCCTGGCATTTGTGGAGATGCTGGTCGTTGGCCCTGTGCCAGTATATCTGGCTCCTGCGGCATGTTAAAAGACGCCAACCGCTGCGGATCCATATCAATTTGTAGCCCTATGTCTCCCACGTTATTGACCACGTCAACATGCGTGTGACATCATGCAAAGGACACGCACGCACGTTTTGGGGTCATAGGCCAGATACGGCCAATCGGATTTAAAGGAGATTTACTTAAACTCCGTTCTTGCCTTTCCTCATTGCCCTGTCGTGTTTTCCCTTAGTGGTTGTCCGAGTATGTGTTTCTGAGTGTTTATTATTGGTCATTGACTTTGGCTTTGTTTTGACTTCCCTGTATTCTTGTATCCTTGACTTTTGGCTTTCCCTCATCGTTGTGTCTCATTCTGTGTCCCTGACCTCGGCAAGTATTCTGACTAATCTCTAGTACGTTAAGTCCGGCCATTCTAAAGCCTGGTAAGACGTTACCTTTAGTGCTAGGTGTGATACAGTTCTGCGTGCTGGATCAAATAGTAATCCTGACAATATGTCTGCCTACCACAAATCCTTATAGAATGTAAGCTCATTTGTACAGGGCCCAATTAACCTCTAAATATATGATTTCTATAATTTTAAAGTGTTGCAGAATATGGTAGTGCTATATAAATGATAATGAATGTAAAACTCTGTTTATATAGACTAGGATTCTTATATCATGTTCCCGTCATATAAATAAATATACACATCATAGAAATGATAAACAGGCATATACACTTTTTATCTTCAAAATGCCATGCCACTCAGTAATATGAATCAAAAACTAAAGTTTGATCCACAATATTTTGTAACTGACTGTTCCTTTAAGGTTATCTCTTCTCTGGATCAAATAAAGACACTATAATAATTGCGTATATATTATAAAATACAATCAAATAAAATGTAAGTGAAAATTTATGAGTACAATAAGTGCCCAGGCCATGTTGCCAATTACTTCTTTCAATAGAAATATCTTTTTAACTTGCTAACCAGACAGAAATGAGCGTATGCCATTCATGTTGGCAAACTCATTAGCTAGCACGTTTACACAACAGCACTCGAGGCAATTGGAATGATTCCGTCTCCCACTTCACCCAACTATTAAACACATCATTCATCACGCACCCAAGTACATCCAGCAACAGTGTGATCTCGCAATATTGCCTTTCATGAATTAAGTTGTTATACATGTGTATTGAAATGTTAGCCTAGAACAAAACATTTCTCAACAACCTGAATATAAGATATCATTGCTTGTAAGAGATTGTTATATAATATGTGCAACTTTTGTATAAAAATGCTTTCAGCAAAAGCATATCTGTTTTAAGAGTTTTTAAGAGTTTTGTTAGACAGCAAATACATAGGTACCACTATTTAGTTTATTACTGTTTACATATACTACTTGTTATTCAAATATCACCTTTCCATGATTTTCTTGTGCTTGAAAATTGGGACCCATTAGAGATATTAAATTGACTTCCCTAAAATTGGCTTGTGAAATGTACTCAATGTTTTCTTAAGATGCATTCCCATTGGCTTCATTTGGGACATCATTGAAAGCTTATGTTGGGAGTTTTATTGATTTGAGATAGGAACCACTACATATACTAGTTTGTTTGACTAAAATACCTGGTCTATGCATTTTCAAATTGCTTTTAAATTTCAGATTCAATAAATAGTTAAGCCTTGAAAAAACGTAGACATAAAATAATTAACAGATATTGGTTTCCATAATATTTAACATTTGTAGACCACTTCACATGTATAACATTATACCATGTCTCCTAACCAATAGGTCTGGGGGAGATTTCCCCAAGATGTCGCATGATTCCCTGTTTAATATTTTCAACCCATGCTGCCCCGCTATACAGGGTGTATAGAACTAGGAGAAAGTATGTGCCTGGCTCTGCTTGTTGGCTGGTGTCCAAAGAATTCCCACATAATTTTTTTGGACCACTTCACTACTGGGAATGTGGTAGGAAGTTAAAAGTAATCTAGGCAGTTTCATCACAGTGTGTGCACATTTGTGAGACCACTTTATTTATGTCTTTTAGCTTCCATAGAACCTTTGTGATTGGTTGCTCTTTGACATACCACTCTTCAAGCTAGTTTCAGACAGCAATAGTCAGTTGGCAACAGAAGATGACAAATTGCTAAACACATATAAACCTACAGAAGGATAGCACGTATACAACCAATACACAACAAACCTCATTTTCTTGTGTAACTTGAGTAATTCTTGGTTTAAAAGTTATCTTAAAACAACTGTTATAGTTGCAAATCATATATATACCAGTCTGTGCATTGATCTGAGATATATATATATATATATATATATATATATATATATATTCCTTTTTTTCTTTGTTAAGGATTATGTACATAACTTTAGTTTATCGGCTTAGCTCAACAACACATTCTTTATGTGTGATATAATTAATATATGATTATACCCAAATGCCTCATGGGTCTCCACTCTACTGGGAACACAGTGCTTATACAGTAAACAGCTACATTTGGACAGATACCAATATGCTTGCTTCTACCAGAGTTGACTCACTAAATGACACACAGATCCATAATTTGGTCGCAATCCAGGGCTTAAGTAGCACTAACCTAAGACGACATTGCCTTTAAGCCAGATCTCAAGTTACTATTGAACCAAACTTTCAAAAAAGTATATATATATTTTTTATCTAGCAGAAAATTACCAGACAGGAGATAGCTAAGATTCAGGAAAGGACGGTCAGTGCTATAAACCTGCCTTTTAGGGTTTCTCTGCAGAATTTAATACTGGCTTTAGAATATGTAATTTAAAAGTATGTATGCATTACCAATACTCATAAGAAAACTTTCTCTTGATACAGTGATGACTAAATTTAAACCTGTAATATGGCTTTAGTTTTTCAACAGTGTTAGAATAAACAAAAGAAAAGAAAACAAGAGAAATATATCTGAACATCTGGAATAAATCTGTTTTCTTTTTACAGTTCAATAATTGGTAAGTCTTCTGTACCTCATTTATGCAATATAAAACATTTGAAAACAGATGGGCATTACACGAATGGTTGCACTTATATTGAACACATGCTACAGTAAAACAATGGAGCATATTTTAATCTTTTTATCAAACACCTTGCAACATCTTGAGATTAAAATTCTGACTTGCGTAATAAAAAATGCATAATGGGTTTACAGTCATCAGATTAAAAATCGAGTGGTATGTTTGTTTCCCTCGGAAAAAAACATTTGAATTCATTTATTTGGTTAGTAATTTTTTTTGGGGGGGCCTTCTGTCTGTTTTGACAGTTACTATAAAATTACATTTCTGGAACATTCCTTTGAAGTTATTTTATGACATTTTATATAGAGATTTGAAAAACGTATGACCAGTGTTTAAAAATGCCAATTTCAGCTGTACCAGCTGCTTATGTGAAAAAGGACATTTTCATTATATTACCTGTTTTATACTTGCAAGTATATTTGTGCTTCTGCATTCATACATTTGCATTTAGTACACCATGTTTGTGGTTTTATAAATGTGTTTATGTATCCATAGTAACAGAATGTACACAAATCAGACTGGTCCCACCCGTAAGGGCAGTCCAGTTTTGAAATGCCAGCAAGTTCCTGATGTGCTTCAGATATGTTCTGTCTGTAATGGCACATGATGAGCTAAAACCAGCTTGAGATCTGAGCAGGGACCAACCGAAGGGCAGGCTAATTGAGCTACTGTCCGTTCTCAGTACACTCTGATGCCTTGTTTTTTGCTCTCCATAAGTTTAAAGGGTAATCCAGACGTGGACCCCTTTAAACTTATGGAGAGCAAAAACTCAACTGATGATGCCTAATAAGGTTGAAACGATGGTCTGGGGTTACTGTGTCACTCGTGTAGAGGGAAATGCTGGCATTTTGGATCTGGGCTGCCTGTACGGGTGGGG